TGCCGTCGAATCACATCGGCGACTGTAGCTGACTGTCCCGTCGCCACGACCCTCACGTCGGCGTCGCTCCTCCATCCCACCCGGCCCGTTCAACGCCGCCAAAGTCACGCTGGCTTCCCAATCCTCCTTCTCCGCTTCCAGTGGCCAACGCAGGAGGCGCTCTTCTGCTGCAAGGCAATTGCCGCCCAGTAATATCAACCTTCCGGATAGTGCAGAGTCGCGAAGCAGGTTAGGCACAACCAGCGGTCTTCACGGCCGCTCGCTGGGCGAAGCCTTACCCTCCATTCCTGGCACGCCAGGTGCCTTCGAAATGTCGAGATCGCCTTCGCCTCAGCCAGGCGGATGGTCGAGCCCGGGCTTGAATACCCCATACGATAACAGTGGGCGGACGAGCCCCTACCCGAATGGCTCCTCTTCACACAATGTCACCTGGGCATCGGCTCAACAGCGGAGTGCTGAGGTGAAAGGATACCCCGGCTTCACTCCAAGAAACCAAGGCTTCTTCGGCAAGCACTTTCGCAGGATTTCTACAAGCTTGCCCTTCAACCACGGTGATAAGGAGAAACTAGGTCGTGGGCGGTCGCAGAACAAAGTAATGCGTGCTTTGAATGGCATAGCCTGGACAATATGGCGTCTGCGGAAACGGGTCGCATTGGTACTATTCGTAGTATTCTTCTTCATTTTCTACAATTCAAACACACGTAAGTCATCACCCCCTCCAAGCCCCCCTCTCGCGATTGGCATTGACAGATCTAGCCATCCGTCGTATGTACAGACGGTCCGCATGGTTCGGCGGCGGCAGCAAATACGTCGTTATACTCGCAGCGAACCAAGGTGGAGGTGTTATGGAATGGAAGGGTCCCCGCGAATGGGCTATCGAACGCGACAGCGTCAAGAATAAGAAGAAGTACACAAGGAATTGGGGCTACGAATTGGAGATCGTAGACATGAGCACCAAGAAGCGTTATGCGCACGAGTGGAGAGAAAGTTGGGAGAAGGTTGACACCATTCGCAACGCCATGCGCAAGTACCCGCATGCTGAATGGTACGTGCTGCGTGAAGATGATGTGGTCCAGGCTAATATTTCGCAGGTTCTGGTGGCTTGATACGAACACGTTCATTATGGAGCCGACATACTCCCTTCAGAAGCATGTCTTCAAACAGCTACAAGACGTGACATATCGCGACATCAACGTTTACAACCCCCTCAACATCACCCATCCTCTGACCGACGAATACCTCGACCCCGAGACACGCTCACCAGTGGGAGACGGCAAGGTCGACTCTGTCAATATGCTCTTACCCCAAGACTGTGGCGGTTTCAATCTGGGCTCATTCATGGTGCGAAGAAGCGCGTGGACCGACAGGCTGCTTGACATCTGGTGGGATCCTGTTGGCTACGAACAAAAGCATATGGAGTGGGAGCACAAGGAGCAGGACGCTTTCGAGTACATGTACCAGAATCAGCCCTGGATCAGGCCTCACGTCGCCTTTATCCAGCAACGCCAAATCATGAGTTTCCCACCAGGCGCATGCGGTGAGAATGGCGATAACCCCGATATCCACTACCAAGAGCAAGATCGTGACTTTATGGTCAACATGGCTGGCTGCGAATGGGGTCGCGACTGCTGGGCTGAGATGTACAAGTACCGCCAACTCAGTAACCACCTGAATCGCACACCCTGGGAGAAGTTCAAGGACGGTATTTCGGACTTTTTCAAGAGCAGGACCAAGAAGGAGGAGAAGAAAGAAGAGAAGAAGAACTAGAGATTTCACGAAACATGGGGGTTGGTCTGGATGAACTGGAACGCATTTCGATATATTTTGGATTTCCCTAAGCCTGCGGCTCGGCTTACGATTTTGCTATAATACCCGCACGCATAGAGGAGGATGTATGACCGTGGTATGATATCTGCATGGATCGGAGTCGATGTTCCATACCTGTACCATACGAAATTGACTTTCGGCGAACTGGACACCGAGCTGGACGGTGTGTTTGCATCTCATTCTAGGATCGCTATTTGTATTGCAAGGTCTCCCCAGTTGTTCATACCAAGCCTGTGACGTACTCCAAAAGCAGTATGGGGATCAAGGAAAGGAGAACTTGAACTCGATACAGATGAGCGAACCTACAGTATGCGGTATTGGAGGACGCGAATCTCCTGCAAGGCATGCACGGGAGAGCTGGCCTCCCTTGTCAAGTCCATGTCGAAGAAGAACAAAGTCTACGTGGCGCAACTCGACTCGCTTCACACCCCAGATAATGACGTTATAGATAGCGTGTGGTAAACAAGCCTCGAGGAGGGCGGAATGATGATGGATCTGTATAGACTTTGGCATGGTTGTACGTAGCACTGAGAGATGAGGCTGCGCGACTACGCGACCATGTCTCGCACACCGCAGACCACAGGGCAAATGCGCTCAGGAGGTAGATGCGCATGTCCTGGATAAAGGCAGGTGAGCATGTCTAGACTCGCCAGGCTTGGATAGGAAGGGGAGTGAGCGACGTCTGATTCGTCAGTCACCCACACCTACTGCCAATGGTCATACGCCAACGACCAGACGGGACACGGGGTCAGGAACGAGCAGCCGTCTACGTACTCCAACCTCGACCTTGCGATATCTCTCCTTACATCAACTCGTCTCCTTTCGCTTGCTACGGTCGCTCTCTGTCGTGTTCCTTCGCGCCCCGCCCAAGGCGATTACCGTGATCTCCGCTTTCCACCCTTCCCCACGAAACGTCATTACGCCCAGACCCTGGCCGTGCGCAAGTTGGGGAGCCAGTCTACATAGCGTCAGCTCGTCCGCGGCCTTACCTTATCTCCAACGACGACTCGCAGCGTCGCCGCGACAGGATTCGGTGGCTCTGGGTGCCGTGCCTTGTTTCTGGGCCCCGATAAGCTGTTTCAGAGCTGCGCTGGCCTTTCTTGCTTCAATCAACAAGCTGCAGCGTTCCCAGTCCTAACAAAGAACCGAAGTCGGAACGGCCCTTGGGATCCACTTGAGCGCATACCTCCACACCACCGGTCAACCTAGGGCTTGGGGATATAAGGACTGTCGCTGAGGTCCAGCGCCGCAGAGCTCTTTCCAAGGCTCGGATTTGTGAAGGTCAGGGTGCGATGCACGATCACCGTCCACCGCGAGCAGGCAGACAGAACATAGGGGCCGACGACGCGAACCACCAGGACCAAGCCATGCCTCCTTCTCGCCATGTCGCTGCGTCTTCAAGGCAACGCTCAGAGGGTATGATCCGTTCTCTTTCAGTACTTCACTGCATCTGTATGTCGAGCAACAGCTGACACATCGTACACAGAGTCATGGATTGATCTCGCATCGGCGCCTTCGTCCACCTCCCTATCCTCTGCGACCGACGAGATCATCACAACGGGCCTCACGGTGCAGCACGACTCCAACGCGCACAGGCGGCCCAACAGACGCTCACGAGGCGGCGGTCAGTTCTCAATAGGGACTGGACATCGCATCACAGCGGGAGGGAACAGCAGTCAGGAGGAGTATGAAGAGAGCGAAAGCGAGTCGGACAGGGTCATGACATCCTCCAACGAGGCCGTCGCTCCGTCACCTTTGAGGCAAACTCTGCAGTCTGTCGCGTCTTCGGAGACCATGTCTGAGAGGGAAGATGATGACGATGAGAATGCGACGGCGGTCAACTACCCACGTTCCTCTAGACGGGAGTTCCAGCCACGGCCAAACGCCTTCTCGCACCCGAATAACCAACAAGCTATTCGGTCGCAGTCCGGCACCCTGTACACACCTCGTAGGAACGTGAGGCCAGCTGGACAGCGACAGCACTCCTACCCTCAGCATAACCCTTACAATGCCATGGCACCCAACTACCAACCCGACCACGACGAAGCCCTCCGCGCCAGCCTGTCCACGCTGCTCTCGGCTGCCGCCGCTGTGCGTGGCCTCCCGAAGCCAGGCCAACCGCGCGCGAACACTCCCTCATCCACACGAGTCGATCCATCCTCCCTGCGCATGGTGCCAGAGTCCGTGGCCTTGGGCAACATATCCGAAGAGGCCGCATCATCCCCATGCAGCACCAGTAGCAGCCCTTCCGAGAAGTCCAAGCGCAAAGCCAGTCCGCCGGTAGCCGGTGCTCGCAGCAGCAGCAAAGACCGCCGTACCGTCAAAAAAGCACGCAAGACAACCCCGATGATAGAGGAAATCAGCCCGACGCTGCTTACCTGGGTTGTCAGTGCTGGTGTCGTCGTCCTTGTCAGCGCTATCGGTTTCTCGGCCGGATATGTCGTTGGCAAAGAAACTGGACATGCTGAGGCGATGGGTCAGATTGGCACCGCAGGTTCCGAGGCCGGACGCTGCGGTAAGGAAGCTGCTGCAGGCATGAAGGGCACTGGCCTCGGTCTGCGGAAGCTACGATGGGGTTCTGGCGCGGGAATCCGCGTCTAAGCATCCACGATAACGGTGATGACACGACATGCATAGCATTTAGCGAACACGAATTTGCAGGTATTGCGGGCGTTTTCATTCCTTTCTACTACGACAGTTTGCATATTGATATCACTCGGCATGGCGCTGGTTTGGCGTTGGGCTTGGTCTGAAAGTTAGGAAGTCTTGGGGTCGTGGCTACGACTCCGTGGAAAGTGAGAAGATAGTTGGTGCTGTTGCATGCACGTATAATGTATTGGGATTGCTGGTCGATTAGCTACGATGGCAGTTATAGACTCAATATAGGCATTTATATTTATGATACATGCACGTCAACCTAGGGAAAAAGTGAACACCCTAGGGTCTACATCGATGTTAGCACACCTACTTTGCACGTACTCATGTTAACGTAGTCTGCAGACCTGTCTAGTTTTTCCCTTGTATAAGGTGCATGTATTGCTATCGATATCGGAGCAACCTGTGAGGTCGTGCTCTGCAAGACGTTCATCGACGACAGTTGCAAGTAGGATAGTGTTACTTCTCTATAGGGTCGTCCTCTTCCACTGCAGTCTTGGTGTCCGATGACTTGCTTTTCATAGATGTAGACTCGTCGTCATCGCCACCAGTCCCTCGTCCTCAGGCTCAGCTTCTTCGTCGGGCGTTGTCTCTTCGTCGGACGTTGTCTCTTCTTCATCCACGTCCGTTTCCCCCTCAACATCGTCTTCATGCTTCAACGCATTTGTAACTTCAATTGGCTTACGCCGAGTATTCTTCCTAAGCGCCTCGCAAAATGCCTCGCACTCGCGCTCGAGTACATCATCCTCCTGGAGCCAACAGATCAACCTAACGCTTACCCTCTCGAGTCCCAGCATGTTTTTGAACTCCCTGGCGAACATTCTACTCAAAGTAGTCAAGTTCGGCATACAGCCCTTTATGTCGTAGAAGATTATCTCTAGAGCTTTGATGGCTTCGAGCTGGTGCGGCTCTAGCTGTTCAACTATCTTGAAAATCTTTTGGTCGTCTATGATGATTACGTTGTTTTTGAATAGTAGCGTAGAGGTGTCTGAACGGATTTGTCGGCACGTCGATGTGACGTCTAGTAGATCGGTGGGCTCACATCCTTCCGGCTGGTAGTCTGTCTCGCTCGTGCGATAGTGATGATGTGAGCGACCGAAGTAAACGCTGCCGACGGAGAAGACGTAGTTGTAGATCTTATTTCGAACTTCTCCTGGCAGCTTTAGGAGTGGCGACTCGAGCTGGTTGCGTTGTGTGCTATCGATGTAGTCAGCATGCGGGTCTGTCATGATGACTTCAACGTTCAGACGTACATTGTATCTGCCTCGGCCATTATATCTTCTTTATCGGACATGGTTGAGTGGAAGTTGTAGGATATTTTGAGTTGCGGAAGAGTGTTAAGTAGACTTTAGGTGTGACAGGGGTAACAGAGACAGGGAGCAAGAGTTTTGTATCACGCCCGATATTGATAGTCTTCGGTGAAAGGATAGGGTGTGACTTCTTTGTTATGTGTTACCCTGTGAAGCTACTACTACAGTGTTGCGGGATCTGCGTACGCATTCATTCCATGATCGCGTGGGAATGAAGAGCAAGGACTGAAGAGCAAGTTGGATATGCGGTTCTGTGTCACCATTCACTTCCTCTGGCACACGGAATACAGAAGATGGCTGAAAGGAATGTAAAGGAAAGCTCGCTTTCGTCAGATGTGTAGCTTCATGCTCTTTAAACCCTCCAATTAATGCTCTCTCTCGTCTGTATTTTACATGTTTGCCTCTTCACTGTGACCATTGATGTGCTGTTCGCCACCTGGGGACGCATGAGACCATGCCTTTTACGGACTCGTGGAGTATACATAGGTGAGAAGAAGAAAGAACTCACTTCCCAAAGTCAATCACCACGTCGACATCCTCTCGGCCGAGACCTTTCTTGACGACCTCGACTAATTGACTGTACTCCAGTGGCTTCAATGTTGAAACACAGGCAACTTGCACACGCTTCAGCCCCTTCAGTAACCGAACTGCTCTGCACAATTTCCAATTTTTGGCACAACTGCCTGCCCAGTAATTCGTACGTATGAATAAGATGGCCTGTCGCTGAGTGATGCTTAGCCTCTTTATCGGGTGGTCGAGTGTGAAGTCCAGGGCAAACATGATGCCTAGTTCAAACGGCAGGATCCTGGTCTCAGCGTAGAGCTGCCGAGATACGAGTGTCAAGCCAGTGAGTGTATGGAGGGGTATTTCGGCGTAAGGTGAATCAACAGACGCTACAGCAAGAAAATCCAGCTTCCTGGTTCTTTGGGCAATGCGAAGCTTCATACCACCGAGTACGTATCCGTAGATCTTGTTCCGTAGTTCAGCAGGTAGGCGTAGAAGAGGTGAGCGCTGGCGGTTGGTCTTGGTGCTAGAAGCGGCGTAAGTTCGTGGCAGAACGCACACTGGTTCGTACTTACATGACTTCGGCGGCTTCGCTAGAAAGTCTCTCGCCCGACGGATCGATGATGGTATCGTAGTAAGTTGGCATCTTGTTCGTGTGGAGTTTGCGCGTTTCGAAGGGTAGCTGTGGGAAGTTGGAGGGTAAGTAGAGGTGGAAGTGACAAGGTAAGAGATAGTGCCAAGACTAGGCTCACCTTCATTCTGGCCAGTGGTCGCGCCTGCCTTCCAGAGCCTCTCATCTACCGAGGGAAAGTGAGTGACGACAAACAAAACGTGGCTTTCAGCACCTCATACCAGGGAACTCAACCTAGCTGTCGAGATACACAAACAACCCAGAAGACTACATTGCCTCAAGATTGTTCTTAACTCTTTGTTTCATACTAATGTAGACGCCAGAGTACCTGTTACACATGTGAAATGCCCCACCATCTTCTCGTGGTATCACAACACATCCACTTTTGCACAATACCTGCAAAGGTCAGCGGACTAAAGTAGAACTAAATGTATCCTTGACTACCTGGCCACATGAGCGGTAAACTTTTCAACTAGATTGAAAGTAAAAGGAACTGATACAACTCCCGCTGATCGACCCATAGAGCTGATCGCAAGCTGGAAACGCTATACACATGAGAACATAATCTTCATCCCGATCATCCTGTCCCAAGATCTTGATCCCACCTGACCCTACATCTGGATATATCTCTTACAAAGAACCATTCCTTTTCCGATAAAACATCAACATTGCCGTAGTAACCAACAAGTTTCTTCCTCTATGGTCGACCACCAACGAAGTCGCTCCATGACCTGACTTCACTGGGAATACCCTCCTTCTTGGGAAGCTTCTCGCTCATGCATTGGGCGAACAGAACAGCAGTCTGAGTTCAAATTAGCTTATTGTTTCACGAATATCAGAATGATGAACTTACCTTGGGCTCCATGAATAGCGGAACACCGAAGTCGACCGCGTTTCTCCTCATTACGTAGTCCTCGTCAAACAAGCCGCTCGCCCTGTACTTGGCCAGGTTGAAGCAGCCACGGATGTCGTTCTTCTCAAACACCTCACGGAGTTTCCTCTTGTCATCCTTGGGGAACTCGATGACGTCGACGCTGATGCCCTCGGTGTTCTTCTCCAGAAGCTCCTTGACGTCCTTGTTGGCAGCAAGGAACCTGTAGCCAAGTGCGTGGACGTACTTGGCGATCTGGATAAGGGAGTTCGCGTGGAGCGAACCGGGTGTAACATCACCACCGAAGAGGAGACCCTCACCGGGCTGGGGAAGACGGAAGTTCATCTGCGATTGCGCGGACGCCCAGTAGGCCTCGACCAGGTCCTTACCGAAGCAGGCCATTTCACCGGTAGATGACATCTCTACGCCAAGGTAGGGGTCAGCACCCGCCAACCTAGTCCAGGAGAACTGGGGAACCTTGGTGGCGAGGTAGTTCCTCTCAACGCTCATGAGGTCAGTTGGCTCGGGAACGTCACGGCCAACGAGAGCCTTTGTAGCAACTTCGATGAAGTTGGTACCAAGGACCTTGCTGACGAAGGGGAAGGAACGAGAGGCGCGGAGGTTGCACTCGATGACCTTGAGGTTAGGCTCGGAGCCCTCAACTTCTTCCTTGATGATCTGCATGTTGAAGGGACCAGTGATGTTCCAGGCCTTGGCAACCTTGTCTGCGATCTCCTTGACACGTTCCTGGATGCGCTTGTCGAGGTGGACAGGGGGCAGTACGAGGGTGGCATCTCCGGAGTGAACACCGGCGTTCTCAATATGCTCACTGACAGCGTGGACAAGGACGTTTCCGTTGGAGGCGACAGCGTCGCAGTCAATCTCTTGAGCGCCGTCAATGAACTGAGTGATGACAACTGGGTGGTCGGGCGAGACGTTGGAAGCAGCAAGGAGCTTCTCCTTCAGCTCATCCTCACCGCGGATGACAGTCATGGCAGCACCTGACAGGACGTATGATGGGCGAACGAGAACTGGGTATCCGACGGAGTTTGCGAACTTCTTTGCCTCCTCATAGGAAGTAAGCTCCTTCCAGGCGGGCTGATCAACACCGATTGAGTCCAGGATCGAAGAGAACTTGTGGCGATCCTCGGCCTTGTCGATGTCGTGAGGGTCGGTTCCGAGAACCTTCGCCTTTCCAGACTCTTGGAGCTTGAGAGCAATGTTCTGGGGGAGTTGGCCACCGACAGAGACAACAACACCGCTGGCAGTCTCCAACTCGTAAATATCCATAACACGCTCGTAACTGAGTTCTTCGAAGTATAGCTTGTCAGCAACGTCGAAGTCGGTCTAAACAACGGTTAGTTCGGCCCAACGTATGCGTTCATGCCACCTACAGAGTATGTCTCGGGGTTGTAGTTGATCATGACAGTCTTCTTTCCGAGCTCGTTGAGGGAGCGGGTAGCGTTGACAGCACACCAATCGAACTCGACTGAGCTTCCGATACGGTAGACACCGCTTCCAAGAACAATAATGCCATGGTCGTCGAAGGTGACGTCGTGAGAGGAAGCGTTGTAAGTGGTGTAGAGGTAATCTGCAAATCGTTAGCAACACTCATAAATGGAGGGAAGCACTCGTGAACGCACTCGTGTCGGCTGGAAATCTATTGTAGTTCAGTCAGTACGTGTCTTGCATGAGGTTAAGATAGGGACATTGCTTACTCTGCAGCCAGTGTGTCAATCTTCTTGACCCAAGGCTTGACGCCGAAGCTCTTCCTGCGAGCGCGGACCTCGTCTTCAGTGCTGTTAACAGCCTTGGCGATCTGCTTGTCAGAGAAACCGAGCTTCTTGGCCTTGAGGATGATCTCCTTCTTCAGGCCGAACAGGCTGCCTATCTCCTCAAGCTCGTGTGTGCAGTCGACGATGTTCTGGAGCTTGTGCAGGAACCACTTGTCGATCTTGGTGAGGTCGTGAACCCTGTCGACAGTGTAGCCTTCGTGGAAGAGCGCCTGACCGACGGCGAGCCATCGGCGATCGGTGGGGTTCTTGAGCTCTTCGTCCAAGCTCTCGCCGTACTTCTCGCCCTGGAAACCGAGGTACTTGGGGTCGACTTGACGGCAAGCCTTCTGGAAGGACTCCTCGAATGTACGGCCGATGGCCATGACTTCACCGACAGACTTCATGGAGCTACCGATGTCGCGCTTGACGTTCTGGAACTTGCTGAGATCCCATCGGGGCATCTTGGTGACGACGTAATCCAAGCTGGGCTCGAAGTTCGCGGTGGTGGTCTTGGTGACGGCGTTGGGCAATTCAGGGAGAGTGTGTCCGAGACCAATCTTGGCCGCGGTGTACGCGAGAGGGTAACCAGTGGCCTTGGATGCCAATGCGGATGAACGAGAAAGACGAGCGTTGACTTCGATAACCCTGTAGTCGAGGCCATCTGGCTGCAGGCAGTATTGCACGTTGCACTCGCCAACGACTCCCAAGTGACGGACGATCTTGATGGACGCAGAACGGAGCATGTGGTATTCCTCGTCGCTGAATGTCTGACTGGGTGAAACAACGATACTGTCACCGGTGTGCACACCAAGAGGGTCGAAGTTCTCCATGTTGCAGACCGTGATGCAGTTGTCGCTTGCATCGCGCACAACCTCATACTCGGCCTCCTTCCAGCCCTTCAGGGACTTCTCGACCAAGATCTGGGGCGAAAGTGTGAGGGAGCGAGCTGACAAGTTCTTCAACTCCTCAGGGTTGTTCGCGAAACCTGAACCGAGACCACCGAGCGCATAAGCAGCACGGACGATAATGGGGTATCCGACCTTCTCGGCAGCGTCCAGTGCCTCGTCAACAGTGGAAACGGCAATCGACTTGGCGATGGGAATGTTGATCTCGTCGAGCGCGCGCGCGAAGAGGTCACGATCTTCACTGGTCTTCAAAGTCTGGACACTGGTTCCGAGCACCTTGACGCCGTACTTCTCGAAGATACCCTTGGCATCCATCTGTACACCAAGGTTCAGCGCAGTTTGTCCACCGAAGCTGAGGAAGATGCCATCGGGCCTCTCCTTCTGGATGACATATTCGGCGTATTCGGGAGTTACAGGCAGGTAGTAGATTTCGTCGGCGAGCACGTGGGATGTTTGGATGGTAGCAATATTAGGGTTGAGAAGAACAGACTTGACGCCAGCCTCCTTCAGAGCCTTCAGTGCTTGTGAACCTGGTGGTTGATTAGCATGGCGCAAGTTTGCGTGTGCACGAGAATGTATGCGCACCTGAGTAATCGAACTCTCCGGCTTGACCAATGCTGAGACCACCGCTACCAATGACTAGGACTTTCTTGACATCGACCAAGTTCTGCGCGCCAGAAATGACGCCGCTCTTCAGGTATGCCTCTGCATTAGGCGCAGTCTGTGTCTTATTCCATGTCGACGCGACCTTTGTGAATGCCCGCAGCTGCCGGAGGGCGGCAGGTGACTCTGTGCTGGAGCGGAGCGAAGTCAACGGCCGAGCACTTCGGGTTGTGAAACTTCGAGAGTATGTGGAAGGAGCAATAGAGCGGGTGTGACCTGTAAGGGAAGGTACGCGACGTGCTAGACGTCCGCAGAGAGCCATTTGCAGGCAGTCAAGCAACTGGGTAGCTTCGGGCTCGACAAAGGATAAGGATGGAGGACTAGGCGTCGAACGCGCGGGAGGAAGGTCGCTCGGTGGCCGACGGGTGCAATTGAAGGCTTATAGCTCGACCCAGTTGAGCAGAGCACGAATGACTCCCTCCGGGTTTATGTATAATCTGTGGGGAAGATGTGATGCGGCAGCCAAAAAATTCCAATGATGCGCGACGGGCCAATCAAGCTATCTCCGATAACGCACAGATAAGACCGTCGGCGATCCTGGGAAACGGGAGGGACGAAGCGTGGTATGCGGTCATTTACTCCCTCTATTTAATTCGCATTTCTTGAAATTGGTCCACTCATTATACGCGACCCAGTCACAAGTACGCCCGATGTAAATGCGAATTGCTCTGTTTGCTACCATATTGTCGCGAGCAACATCGATGCGGAGCACCGATTGCGGCGCCGAAACTCTGATCCCCAGCATTCTGGCACGCAAGCACGGATGAGAAGAAATTTTGACATGGTCGTGCAGAGCTTTCT